CTCTCTATAAAATGAGACATAAAATATAGATAATGTTTTTGTAATGTGCGTAGTATTTTTTCGATTTAGGGCGGGCAGATTTTATGTGGAGAAAGAAAAGAAAAAGTCTATATATGTGTCTGAATTGTGCTACTAAACATGCTTTTTTTATACGTGTTTTAAGGTAAGAGAGATATTCTTCACAAGACAACAACTAGATGTCTGGGAATGTTTTCAAGTTAAAATATATTCTGATAAAATGATTTATTTAATTTGTTTTTTCCTTGGAAAAATTTACAATTTATTTATATTCGAAATATTGTTTGATCTACAGTAATATACAAATCTGTTTCATCTATTTTTAGTGTTTCTCTAATGGCGTATATTATTTAAAATGTAGCTAAAACTTCTCTCGAGCGTCTTAATGAAGATATTTTTCATAATATTTAACATTGATACTCCTGTTGTCAATATTTACACAAGAGTTCTTCTTATATACAGGATGTTGATTATCCAATCATCTCCTTGTATTCATGGTAAAGACAATCAAGCTGTTTCTGGACTCAGCTGGGCACAGATTTGTAAATATTCTGTTAATCGGATCCAAAAATTTTGGACCCACTGGGTTCTAGCCGTCTAACAAATATGTAGGGTGCGCTAATCACCGAATACAAAACATGGGTGAAAAGTATCTTGTATCTCTGAGGCGACTATCCAATTCCGATTAGAAAATGTTATTGCAAGTATCAAAGTACAGTTTGATCAGGTGCAAGAATTTTGCATCCGACGGTTTCTATTTACTGGTGTACTAAAGACAGCATATTTCAGAATGAGATCAATTCCAATTATGGCTCTAATAAAAACTTTATTAATTACAACCAGCATGTCTTTTTTTCCTTTAATACTCTCTAATCTTTCTGGAAATAGAGAGAATACATCTACGATTAACTAAACACAATATTAGATCATTGATATGGATTTTAATTTGACGCTCTAACCACTTTTTTCATTTCAAAATCTATTCAGTAGGATCAATACTATCAAATATTTACTCATGCATTTTATATAATTGTATTGTAATTTATGATATTTGATTCTCTATTTGTTGACTATATTTTCTAATTTTTGTTATTTTTAGATGTGCCAATCGCTCTCTATAACTTTCTTTCCGAATTCAGTACTCATTCAATTGGTTACAAATCATTAGACAATTTTGTAATTCTGTATGTAAAAAAACTCTTTAAGAAAACATTTCATTGGAAATATTTTAGTTGACAAATTATTAATAAATATAGACTTCTGAAAATGTCAAACGAACGTTCTGAATAATTTAGAAACAATAGTTATATTTATGCAATCTATGATAACATTCTTAATGATTTTTGAATAAATCTTCATAAGATACACAATAGGAGTCTAGAAACATTATTGTATGTTATTTGTCAGTGCACATATTTTATTAAGTATTTATAGAAAAATTAAAAAAATAACATATTTATCAAAGAAGTCAATATTGATATTCGAATTAGAAGTATTCGCTAAATAAATTTACTTCATATGATAGATATGCATTCATATCTAACGTTTACTAATTCTTGCTAAAAGACCATATTTTGTGCGCATTGTAATTTTAAAATCCGGTATTATTTTTTGTCCTGGTATCATTTCAAAATTACATCGTTGAACAAACATAGCTAAGATAATTTTTGCTTCTAATAAAGCAAAATTTTGTCCAATACAGTGATGTGGACCAGCAGCAAATGGAAGATAAGCAAATGGATGAGGTAATTTTGGTTTCAAACCTGTTTTAGGATCACGTAACCAACGTGTATAATCAAATTGATCTGATTGAGGCCATAAATCACTTCGACGATGAAGAAGATAACTGTTGACAGTTATTGTCGTTCCCGCAGGTATACGTAATTGACATTCAGCGTCAATAACATGTTCACGTATACAATGACATGAGGAAAAATGGTGCTGATGGATAAAGACGAAGTGTTTCATTTATGATAGCTTCACATATGACCAATGCAGGAAGATTTTCATTCGTAGGTTCTATGTCATTAGGTAAAACTCTATCAACTTCTTCTCGACAAGCTTCAAATACATCTTTATGAGTCATTAAAATATAAAACATCCATGTCATAAGATTACCAGTAGTTTCACTACCAGCAAGTACAAATGTAAGAGCGTGTTCTTTAATTTCTTGATCAGTAAATGATTTTCCTTCATTATCAACAGTTGAAAGAAGTAAATCAAGAAGATCAGGACCATTAGATAGACTAGTTGTATCTCCTTGTCTTCGATCAGTAATTATTTTATCAACTAACTCACTTATCATTCGAGCTCCATTATCAACAATATTTTTCTTCAAGAAAGGAAATTTTGATATAAAAGGTATTTGATTAATCATCAACATTGAACGATAAATAATAGCTTCAAGTACTTCACCATATGTTTGAGTAATAATCTCTTGAGCATTTGCAATTGTTTCAAAACCTGAACCAAATGCACTTGATGCAATAACTGATAATGTAAGTGCATTAAATTGATATTGTAGATCAATTGATATTTGTTCTGATTGATCTAAAGTTGATCTTTGCAAAAGTTTTTGAATCGTTTTTGTAGTTTGATCAGTAATAATTGAAACTATTGATTTAAGATTTGTATGATAAAAAGCAGGATTAATCATATGTCTTGCTCGTTCATGTTCATGACCTTCAGATACTAATAAATTTTGTTTACCAATAATTGGAGTGAAAATAGTACTAAAAAAAAGGTGGTTTAATATAATTTTGTACATTTGTTCGACTAAATATATCAGCAAGTAAATCAGGTTCA